CTTACACCATTTGAATGGTTACGAGTCTTATATGGAGAGGTATACGGCGACTAAGAAGAAGATAATGTGACCATTCATTGCACCATTCATTTGATACACAGATTTTAGGCTTTATTTACAAATCATTTGTTTGTTTTGTGTTTCTATTTAAATAATAATTATTAATGAATTAATGTTTTATATTTTAATTTTAAGAATTTCTTAAATTATTTTTAAATTACAAATTTAAATCAATTTTAAAACCAATTAATACCATAAAAGGAATCGATAATTATTACAATACATATAATCACTGGGTATTGATTTTGCCGTGAAATTGTGTACTGTTTTAAACGTATTCTGTATTTACACAAGAATTTGAAAACTAAATAATAAATGATTTATACATTTCTGTAATGATTTCTATGGCGAAGACGAGGGCGAGAGACAGGTTGTGCTTCAGGAGAACCCATACGGCGGACATGCTATTGAGATCCCGGAGCTCAACAACTTCATTAAAATACTGGACAGGGAGGAGAGGGAGCACTTGACACAAGTGTTCATTAGATATCGACTCCTGAAGGATACCATTCTTAAGATAATCGCCGCCGAAGAACAACCCAATCATACAGACTGTTAAATAAATGACAAAAAAAGTGTTTTTTGACACAAATGACAGTATATTTTGTAAATGACTTGAATGTGTCTTACAGTTAGACTTGATTTGAATGGATATACTGTATGACTGTATGAATATATGGCACGGAACACAATTATTAGTGTATGTCTAAGGGTTGAAAATGTACTGGATTATTTTGGGAAATAATATAAGTTCAATACATACTGTATATACAGTATATTTAATTCACTTTTGGTTTTGTATTTTGCGCTTAAATTCACAACACTTTCGACGTTTTCATTGGATTTGAGTTTTGAGTGAAAAATATTCAAAATATAAATGATTTTTAAATTAATGATAATTTTGTGTCATTTGTGTTGAGCTATGATTGCGAGACGTATTGGCACTCAATCAGTGATCCATTCAATCAATCAGTGGTTTAGCACTCAATACACGCTTTGATTACGCGTTCAAAGCATTCAAACGATACACAAATCCAGTTGAAGACCACTTTTGGACCACTTTTTGATTTATTTATTGATTGCGGTATTCATTACCCAAACAAGTGGTCAGTCGTATGTCTTCGGGTGGCATTCAAAACCTCAAAACATTTGGTAAGTCTTCCGCTGATCTGTTTGTGTCCACACACGTGATGGTCGTTGTCTTCAAACACACCATTCATTGAGTAGTGGTTTAAGAGATGATTGGATTGAAGACAACGACAATGACTTGAATGCAATGAATATGTAACTAATGACTGCATTATTGTCTTATTATGTGAACCGATGGTCAGATCCCTTCGCCGATGTAAATGCCGACGACAGTGGCGTTCAGGACGGGCTGATCCACATCCGCATCCAACAGAGGAACGGTAGGAAGACTTTGACTACAGTTCAGGGAATATCAGACAATTACGACAAGAAGAAGATTGTCAAGGCATGCAAGAAGGTATGTATAACTGCAGATGCCGGTGCTCTCAATGGACACACCATGCGGTAAATGAGTTGCCAAAAGTCGGTCACTATTGATGACTGTGTCAGTGATGGCACCGTGTCTTAAGTGCGAGGCTTTAGCCACTCATTACTCGTTCGGTGTGTTGTAGTGGTTGTGTCTAATGGGTGTCTGTCTGTGCGATGGTTCACAGGAGTTCGCGTGTAACGGGACAGTAGTAGAGCACCCGGAGTATGGAGAAGTGATTCAATTACAGGGCGATCAGCGGAACAACATTTGCCAGTTCTTAACGAAAGTGCAAATCGCGAAACCAGAACAACTCAAAGTCCACGGATTCTGAGCCAACACTCATCGCCCAAAACACATCCATTTCTGACAATTTCCTCGAAACCCCTTTCCTTCCGATTATCCCTTTCCGAGTGTCTGTCCCACAGATCACTCACGTTTGATATATGCTCTTAATATTGATGATTAAATTAATAACAAATTGTATCGCATTTTCTCTTAATTATAATCAAATGTAAAACAGTTTTTAATACTATATTTCAATAGTTTTTGTGACAAAACAATAACTCATTAACCGCTGAACCCGTTGTCTGTGTTCTCAACGTTTTGATCCTTTTTTCTGATTAAATATAAGATAATTGCGAAAAGTATCGAAATGTCTATTGAAATGGATTTTAGTGTTAATAATAGGTTTTTGGTATTAAATTTTCGATACTTATATGATTCGTATTATAAAAATAAATATTTCGATTCACTTCTCTATCATTTAAATTGACTTCAACTCTAATTTAGGAAATTTGAAATGTTTAGTAAAAATTTTCATAACTTTTGTGCGAATAAATACTTTTTTTAAGGAATAAATATGAATTTTGTTACAATTAACTGTTGAAATGTATTGTAAATTACCGTAATATGAGAATACGGTACTACCGTAACGGTAGTCTATTCTTGCTATTCATGGACTTGTAGTTTATTCTACAAGAATCGGTTCATAACTGACATGAAAACTATTGGAAAAAAGGTTTGTTTTGTATTTGTGTTACAAATTCCTTATCCATGAAAACAATTGATAAATGACATGGATATAAAAGCAATTTGTAAATTATAAAGTGTTTTGAATAACTATTTACAGCAATAAATAGTTGAATTCAATATGGTTTGCAACTCATGGGATGACCAAGTACAATTTGGACGCATTGGGCTGTAGATTAGTATACAATCCCTGTTGTGACACAAACACTGCAAACAAATGAAAAAGCAATTGATTGTTGTGTTTGTGGTGAAGACAATGTCCTGAAGACACACCACCGACACGATGGATGAGATGAAAGAGGAAGTGATAATTGTGGCCGAGAAGGAGGTTTCCCGACCCACACGACCACCTCATGGACGACACATGAAGACAAACGCCAGTAATATATGACACAATTTGACACTCAATTCAATACATGTCTCTAACCGTTGTCTTTGAAATCAGATGCAAATGAAGTGAAGAGTAACGTCCAGATCCTGAACGAGATGTTCCCAAACGGCACGTCATATGTGGAGTTGGGGCGGACGGGACCCCCACACGACCCCATCTTCCGCATCGGTGTTCACGTGAATGGCATGACGTTTGAGGGCACGAGTCGTACCAAACAGAGGGCCCGACACGAGGCCGCCCGACACGCCATCCAATACTTCTCACAAACGGTTCCACTACTGCCTGAACCCACACTCTTAGCCC